TTTTATTTTGTACAAAAAAAAAGATATAGTATACCTGTTAAAGTGAAAAATATATGCAAGTACTTTCCATTGGTCTCCATCCTATATTCTATGGCTATTATTTCAACATTACTGCGCTAATTATTATTACTATAACAATTATTGTATTCTATTATAATACAATCAATCACCATTACACTATTTCCTCTATTCTGCAGTAGAACCAGAGGTGGGTTGCTGCCAGCATTACTGCTGGTTCGGTGCACAAATTTTTTTGTTCATGTGCACTCACTTCGCTTGTGCACACACCAAACGTGCACTCCACGTGCATGTGCATTTACACATAAAATTTCTGGAAAAAAGTTGTTCTGTGCATGCACAGAGCTGAAAATCAAGATTGTGCCGCCGTAGGAGAACCGGTTCAGGGTGTGCGGCAGGCCTGGGTCACTGTGGGTTTCCAGCAACCCAGACCGCCAAGTTACTACCGATCTGAACTGGTAGGAACCCATCTTCTGAGTATAACTATTGTACGCTTTTATTTTCTTTTTTACACTAGCTATGTTTTCTTCTTAGAAATCCTTTTTTGCCTTAATTCCTCTCCCTCCCTCCTGTCCCCCCCTCTCTGATTTCTTCTGATCTTTTTTTTTGTGGATAAAGGAGTTGCATCTTTCCAGGTTGTGATGCTGTGCCTCCATCCTTCCTTTCCTCTAGAGCATCTACTCCCTTTGAAGGGAAAATGCCTTCTTTTATTCAGTTTTTTTCTCTGCTGGTGCCTGCACAGCTTCCAAAATACGTACCTCCTCCCACACCTGCTTCAAGGTTGCACCTTTTATAGTCAACTCTTTATAGACAACTCTCCTGTGCTGGGGCGAAAAAAAGACTCAAATAGAAAGGGAGGAAAACAGCACAAATACCACCATTTTTCTAAGCAGCCAGCTCTTCCACTGGTGGGCTCAGGGTTTTCATGCCTTTGGTGATTGAGAGTGTTATTTTTTTTTTCTTCTTCACACTTTTCAAGTGTGGTTAAACCTCTTCATACAACTTCCTCCCCCATCGCTTTTGTTTCTTTTTTGAACAAACAGCAGGAAATCATAGCTTTGCAACTTCATGGTTTGTTGCTGGATTGGCAGCAGGATTCCTGGAGATTTGAGGGATGTGACAAGCAATGTTAGCCTGTCTTTTTAAGGGTGAGCATTACAGGGTTTGGTCAGGGTGCTGTTCGGGCAGGGGGAGGTGGAGATCTCAGCTCACAATCAGGAGGCTGTGAGTTCAATACTAGGTAGAGGCAGATATTTCTCTCTCTGGGCACGATGAGACTATATCTGCAGAAGGGGTGGGTTCTGGCAAGCACTTCTGCCGGTTCGCTTCTGGGCACGCTGGGTGCACGTGCTTGATGTGCACTAGGCGTGCATGCGCAGTGCAATAAAAATGTTCTGCGCATGCACAGAAATGAAAAACAAGATGGCGGCGCCTATGACGCCAACCAGAGAACCGGTTCGGGGGCATGGGAGGCCTGGGTTGCTGCCGGTTCCAGCAACCCTGGCTGCCAAACCACTACCGGTTTGGCTGAACCAGTCCGAACCAGTAGGAACCTACCACTGATCTGCGGTGAACTCTGCACTGGCAACAGGAAGAGCATCTGGCCAGTAAACACTTTTTTTTTGTACAGCACTGTGCTTCTTTACTGGAACAAACCATAATTAGGTTTGGGGGGGGGGAAATAATGTGATAGCAACTGTGTTCTCCCCTCCCTCCTATTCTCAAGCACCGTGCTGGAGAACCTATGGCATGCGGGACTGAAGTGGCACATGGAGCCACATCGCCTGGTGCACACAGTGTCACCTATTCTTTTTCCGGGTTTCTGGTGCGCATGACAATGGTGCACCTTCGTGTGTGCGCCAGTTTCGGAAACTGAAAAAGGTGATTTTCTGGCTTCCTGCGTGAGCATGCGCGCTGGCCAGCTGGTTGTCATGCGTGTATGTGTACCAGAAACCCAGAAGACTAGCTGGCCATCTGCTCATCATGCGGACATGCATGCCGGAAACCGGAAATTACTTTTCTGGCGCAAGCATACATCCTGGGCAGTTTCTCTTCCGGGTTGCAGTCCAGACAAGGGTGAATACGATAACGAGTTCGCCTTTACTGCTGTAGCAGTTGTCATTCAGAAATACTTTGTCTCTGTTTCCAGAAAAAAAAGCGTTTATATCTCCATGAATTTGTCTAATTTCTTTTTATAGCCTTCCTTATTAGTGGTCATTGCCTCAACCTCAGATGAGATTCCACAGGTTAAGAATGCTTCAATGAAAATTGCTCTGTCCTGAACTTCACATTGTTCAACTTTATTTGATAACCTTTCAGTGCGACTTGTGTTGCAGAGGGAGGAAAAATGCCTTCCCTGTTCACTTTCTCCGTACCAAGGAAGGCTAGAGATTCTTAAATTGCCATCTGACAGTCTTATGTGCCTTCATTTCCGCTCTGCTGTGAGAGACGAAGAATTTCGATGCTGAAATCTAAAACTAAAGAGGAGAAATAGTTTGAATCCCACATATCAGTTCATCGTGATTTAGCTGGAATTGCTTTTTATGTCATTCCCTATTGATGGTTGAAGTCAATTTAGTCTCCTTTGGATGAAAATGTGAGAGAGAGCACAGAACCAATTTTGCCAGTCGCATAAAGTAGCTTTATAGATGCAGTTCACAAGAATTCACTTTGTCCATCCATCCATCCATTCATCCGTCCGTCCGTCTGTCTGTCCGTCCATATCTATCTATCATCTCTCTCTCTCTCTCTCTCTCTCTCTCTCTCTCTCTCTCTCTCTCTATCTATCTATCTATCTATCTATTTATCATCTCTACCTACCTATCTGCCTGTATATCTCTGTCTGTCTGTGTGTCTATCTATTTATTATCTATCTCTCATCTATCTCTCATCTCTCATCTATATCATCTATCATCTATCTGTCTGTCTGTCTGTCTATCTCTATCTATCTCTATCTGCCTGCCTGCCTATCTACCTATCTATCTATCATCTATATCATCTATCATCTGTCTGTCTATCATCCACCTATCCATCCACATCCACATCCCATTTTCACTTCTTCTTATGGTAATAAGAAACTTAAAAATGCATGAAGATGTCATTCTTGTGAAAACTTGTCTTTGGAATGTACGTGGGGACAAAGTTTAAGATAAAATCTCTGACTTGTATATGTACTCTGTCTGTGTGTGTGTGTGTATGTGTGTGTGTGCGCACATGACATTTGCAGGATATGAGGTTGAAAAAAAATGATCTGCCTCAGTGTAAGCTGGTTTTCAGAAACTTTCTATCACAAAGGGGTGAAGAACACCCAGAGGTGGGGAAGACAGATGGTTCTATTGATCCCAGAAATGAATAACATGCTATCTTTAGATACGTTGATTTATCAGGCTCTCCAAATACCAGTTAAACTGAGAGGAAATATTCAGAATCCTGGCATAATATATATAAACAGAGGACTGCTCATTCACTCCCACTTGATGTTTTCTATCAGTAGCAACTAAGCAGGAACTGAAAGCTTATTGAGTCACTGCAAGTAATTCTAGTTTAAGAGAAAAAGATGTCTAGGAAAATATTGTCTAGAAAGCACCAGGACATGTATTAACAAATGAGAATTATAATTTCCTGAACAGATATTTCTGGAAATGAAATCTCAAAGTTTTCTATATACTGCTAAAGCTCTTATCCTCATAATTGTTAATTGGGACATTAACATTTGTCTGTAGAGATTCTCAGTCATCCAGGTGGTCATGGTTATCTCAAAGGTGCTTTTTCAAAAGGCTACTGGACTATGTTGTTGTTGTTTTCTTTCCTTTTTCTTTGAGGAAGGAAAAAAAAACACATTTTGCTTCTCATCCAAGAAGCTTCATCAGTTCTGCCTGGATGGTGTGGAAGGAGAGGAGGGAAGAGAAGGAAAGATTGGTTCCGACATGGGCAAAATGGGCAATAAGTATAAGACTACACTTTCAGGGATCATTTCTATAGTATCCAACTAAAGAGATGCACTCGAAAGTGATCGTCTCTTCCCCAAACCCCCAAAACTTTAACCTTAGACTGTCTACTGTCGACCTCACCCCATTCCTAAGAGGTCTGTAAGCGGGGGTGCATAAGCACACCAACATGCCTACAGCCCTTGTCCTAATGTTTATTTTTATTCGTAAGCATTTCATGTATCTAAAATCATGTTTATACATATATATGTTGTCTAATACATGCTTGACGAAATAAATAAATACAAACAAAATATGCTGCATCAGAGAGCGATGCCAAGGTATCTCAAATGGGGCTAAGTTACAGATTGTGACCAACACCTGGGACCCATGATTCCCATGGAATTGAAATTTGGCAAATTTTATAAACTTTTCTAAATTTCATAAAGCATTTTGTGACATCAAAGTTGTCACTAAGCAGTTTATGATGTATAAAATGTCAAAAAACATTTCCTGTCCTGATGTTTGACTGTGTCAGCGTAGCCTATTTTCAAGGCAGACACATCCCTGTATCCCATTTTTTCCAGTGAAGGCTGCACATTAAAAGTTCTGTCATTGTTGAAGGCACCGAGGAATCTGGTATGGATGTATCTTGGAAAGGATGTCCCAAGTGTTCATGTGTTGTCTAGTATTATACAGTATATCACAGAAGTGTGTACTCACTTTTGTTGCCAGCAGTTTAGACATTAATGGCTGTGTGTTGCGTTATTTTGAGGGAACAGCACATTTTACACTGTTATACAAGCTGTATGCTCACTACTTTACATTGTAGCCAAGAGTCATTTCTTCAGTGTTGTCACATGAAAAGATATACTTAAATATTTACAAAATGTGAGTGGGTGTTCTCACTTCTGTGATATACTGCATATAAAATTCCATTCAGTGCTGGGGGACTTAGCGGTGTAAAAATATTTTCATCTGCTCATCACAGTTTTAAACTCTCTCTCCTCCATCTCTTTCCCAATCTCCACTGTGTGGGCATCGGCCCCTCTCTAGGGTGGGATGTATGTCTTCCAGCTCTTTGACTACTACGCTGCCAGTGGGATGTGCCTGCTCTTCGTTGCTATTTTTGAGACTCTGTGCATTGGCTGGGTATATGGTAAGTACAATTGCAACAAGAAATGGATCTTATTGGTTATGGGCCATCATGCTGGGCTCAACTCTTAGCAATCACATAGATAGAGCGAGATAGAAAACATAGATGTCAAGACTAGTCTAGAACATCTCTGAAGCTGGAACACTATCCCTGAACTTGTCCATAACAATGTGGCTCGCTACTGTGTTTCCCCAAAAATAATACAAGGTCTTATTTTCTTTTGACCCCAGAAATAAGTGCTTGGCCTTATTTTCGGGGAGGTCTTATTATTTCTGAGGTGCAGAAGGCAGTGAGCGTGGTCACCTCATGGCTGCTGCTGTGTTGCAATATTTTTGTGGAGGGCTTATTTTCGGGGGAGGGCTTATTTTAGCACATGCGCTCCAAAGCCCAATTGGGCTTATTATCTGTGGAGGTCTTATTTTTGGGGAGACAGGGTAGTCCTCCTGTTTGGATGAAATCTCCAGAGTTATCTTCATACGTGTTTCATATTTGATATCAGGAGGCAGGGGGACCCTAGATGGAATCCAATATTGGTTTCACACAGGTGCCATTGCTTTCATTAGCAGAATGATAAGGGAGCAATTCCTCCCTCATTTTTCCTCGTGCTCTTCAAGTCCTGAGGGAATTTTTGGAAACAGTTTCTGGAGCAGAAGCAAAGAGAAAAGAAAATCAAATTTACCCTTAAGTACTTTGAGCCTATCAGAAACCAATATAAGAAAAGGAATAAACAGTTTTATATTACTAATTTAACTGACCTTGAGAACCTATTTATCGCTGTTTTGCTTCAGTAGCTTTTCGTTGTTTAGTCTGCTGTGCTTCTTATTTTATTGATCCTGGCTCTCTTCTCTGTTCCATAGGTGTTAGAGCAGACTTCTTCTGCCTGTCTCACCATCTTTTGTCCTTTTCACAGGTGCTGATCGTTTCTACAATAACATTGAAGACATGATTGGCTACCGGCCATGGCCTGTTATTAAGTACTGTTGGTTATTCATAACACCAGCCGTCTGCCTGGTAGGTGGGACATCTCGATCTGGAGACCAATCCAGAGGGTGCCCAGGGACTCTTGAGCAAAAGAGACTTTGACCATTGCTTGTGCCTGCTGCCAAGCATCAAAGAAGTGGGAGGGAGTCGTGGTGGGAATGGAAATAGAAACAATCCAAAGAGAACAGATAAAACTAAAAATTTGTATAAATCCCATCAGCAAAGTTTTTTTTTAACTTAGTCAATTAAGTGCTTAAGTTCTTCAGCTGTAGAAGAAGCATATGTTCAAAGGGGTCTCCCAACTTTGAAAACTTATTCTGACTTCTGCCTGGATGTAGCAGATCAAGACTAATACCTGTGTATAGATGGGCGATAATGATTAGAAATAGGACATTCATTCAGAATTCACCTGTCTGAAATAGTATAGGGCAGTGATAGCTAATCTTTTCTGGATCGAGTGGCCAAAGCATGCACCTGAGCCCCCCCAAAATGCATTGCACGCATGCCCCACGTATGCGCCCCTGCACATGTGTGTACTCCCATGTATGCACTCCCATGTATGCACCCCCATGCATGCGGCTTTTCCTCATGCATGCACATGCTCCCCCCCCATTGCCCCCTGCGTCCCCCATGCCTGCTGCGCCCCCTGGCAAAAAAAGGTCACAAAATTAGTGCGACTTAATAGTAACCACCTTGCTCAGTCACAGAAAGCCTGGTCCCAGTTATTGTCGTCAGCAGAGGACTATCTGTATTCACTAGGTGGAAATCAGGGATGGCGTTATTGTGATAAGCACATAATAATCAAAGTGGTTCATTAAACATTGGGGCATCTAATGCAGGGATGACAAATTTGTGGCCCGCAGGCTGGATGTGTCACACGCTGGCCATGCCCACCTGCGGTTTAGTGAAGGGGAAAAAAGTAATGACACATCACATGATGACAACAACATGATGCCGCGGGTTTGACACCCCTGATCCAGAGATGGTATTCAGCCGGTTCTCTCCGGTTCAGGAGAACTGGTTGTGGTGGCTGCGGAAGGCTCCGCCCACCCACCCTGACGTAGTGTGCAGAAGGTAGCAATAGCAATAGCAATACCGCTTCATAGGGCTTTCAGCCCTCTCTAAGCAGTTTACAGAGTCAGCATTGCCCCCAACAACAATCCGGGTCCTCATTTTACCCACCTCGGAAGGAGGAAGGCTGAGTCAACCCTGAGCCGGTGAGATTTGAACAGCCGAACTGCAGAACTGCAGTCAGCTGAAGTAGCCTGCAGTGTTGCATTTAACCACTGCGCCACCTCGGCTCTTGACGTATGTGAGCAAAGCGGTAGGGAAAGTAATTGAAATCTCACCGCTGCCTTATCTAATCCCGCCTCCTTTGCTCAATCTTTCCAGGCAACCTTTCTCTTTTCTTTGATTAAATACACCCCGTTGACATACAACAAGAAATACGTGTACCCGTGGTGGGGAGACACCGTCGGCTGGCTGCTTGCCCTCTCTTCAATGATCTGCATCCCACTCTGGATCGTCTACAAACTCTCCACCATTAAAGGATCCCTGAGAGAGGTAAGACTGGCGTTTTCTCAGACGGCAACTGGGATGCAAAGCGGCTAAACCAGGCCAAGTCTGCCTCGGCCTTCAGAGGTAGCATTGCCGTATTCCAAAACAATGAATGGGACCCTTGCACTAATTTGCTAAGAATCCAGAGGTGGCATTCAGCCAGTTCGCTCTGGTTCAGGCGAACCGGTAGCGGCAGCTGCGAGAGACTCTGCCCACTGACCCCGACTTATTGCGGGAGCACTCTGCATGCGCAGAAGGTGGTGTGTACGAGCAGACCAGTCGCGTGTGAGCAGAAAGAACGCGAGGACGCTCACATTTGCGAACTGTTAGGAAAGGTAAGTGAATCCCACCTCTGTAAGAATCGCTCTGTTATTGGCAAGAACTAGCGACTTTATTGGATTTGAGTTGGCTTGAGGGCAGCACAATCTAAATTGCCTTTGTGGGTGTTTGTTATTAGCTGTATAATACTTCAGCAACATCACCATTGAGAACTTAGCTTCGCCGTATCCCATCATTTCTTTCTCCCTCCTATGCTTATTGACTTTCAGTCAAATATCTTATTTCCTCTGTGACATTTGCAGCTGGTTTCCTTTGATTACAAAGGAGTATCCAGTTCAGAACGACTGTAAAAGAAATATTTGCAACATGTATGCAGGAGAGGGCGTGTGTGTTTTTTTTTTTTTAAATGCTGCTTTTAAAAAAAATATGCAATGCTGCTTTTCAAAGAACAAGGTTCAGCGATCTTATTCAAGATTAAATTGTCCCAGAGTAGTGACCCCCAAAATGGTATAGCTCTATTTATTCTGGTTCAAAATGAACACCAAGTGATATATTGGAGTTCCACTGTTTCAGTATAGGATTCCTTCTGGAAATAATTAACTGAAAGAGCAACTGGTGAACTCCAGTGTTTGGTTTGAATTCAACCCAGTTTAATGATCCAGGGAAGGACGCTGGCACAGTGGCTGCTTTTCCTATTCAAAACCCTGAGTCCTCAACTTATAACCACAATTGGGATGAGAATTTCTGCAGCTAAGCAAGGTCCAATTTGATGACCTTTTTTGGCCATCATTGTTCAGTGAATGACTGCAGTGAATCATGAGGTTGCTAAGCAAATTTAGTTTCCCCCATTGACTTGTCAGCTAGGAAGTTTGTAAATGGCAATTGAAATGACGCCAGGACACTGAATAGCACTAGCACTAAGACTTATATACAACTTCATAGTGCTTTACAGCCCTCTCTAAGCAATTTACAGGGTCAGCCTATTGCCCCCAACCATTTGGGTCCTGATTTTACCCACCTCGGAAGGATGGAAGGCTGAGTCCACCTTGAGCCCGGTGGGATTTGAACTGCAGGCAGCAGGCAGCAGGAGGAGCCTGCAGTACTGCAATCTAACCACTGCACCACCGTGACTCTGAAACCGTTGTGAATGCAGGCTGCTTCTTGCCAAGTGCAAGGTGACACACAGAGCCCTCTCCGTGGGCACACATGCAGGCCACCTGGTCTTTGGGTTTCCAGTGCTCTGGTGCGCTCGAAGACCAGCTGACTGGTGTGCATGCATGCACCAGAAACCAGAAGACCAGGTGGCCGATGTACACATGCACACTGGCTGGCTGGTCTTCAAGTTTCCAGGGCTCCGGCAAGCACTTGTGTTCCGGTTTAGGCACTCAGTGCCAAAAGGCTCGCCATCACTGTTATATGTTCCCACCAGAATCTCCATAGACATTTCCATCCACCCCTTCATATGGTCTCTCTCTCTCCCTCTCTCTCTTTCCAGAGGTTCCACCAGCTTGCCTGTCCAGATGAAGACTTGCCTCAGAGAATGTGTCCAGGCCATCATCTCTTCCCTATGACAGAATTAGATTCTCGCTGTTAGGAGTGGAATCCTCAATCTCCGTTGGACAATCTTGGCCCGTGACCAAGAAGAGAGGAACCAGCCACCCCGTGTTCCCCTCTCTTTGAAAGAACCCGGGAAGGCTGCTAGAGAAAGAGGGTTCTCCCCAGAAGTTGGGGTGCAATGCTGCTTCTTCTGTTTAGCAGCATATTTAGAGGAGGCAACTTAAACCACAATGTACTCCTACGGATCCGTCTAAGAGTGGAACAGGAAGGACAGAATACAGTGATGGAAACTTTTTAACAGGAGCACAGAATTCCTCTTGCATAGGGTTAAGGGAGTGTTCCAGCCCATTCATAAAATCCATGTTTCTTCCAATGATTTATTGCTTATGTGTCTCTTGTGTGTGTGTTTTTTTAAAGGGAGTGGGTCCTTGCTTCAACTCCAGACCTAACTATTTTTCTATTGCTTTCATTAGTTTTTGAACTTGGTATAAAGGTAAAGGTTCCCCTCGCACGTATGTTCTAGTTGTTCCCGACTCTAGGGGGTGGTGTTCATCTCTGTTTCAAAGCCGAAGAGCCAGCGCTGTCCGAAGATGTCTCTGTGGTCATGTGGCCGGCATGACTAAATGCCGAAGGTGTTACCTCCCCACCAAAGTGGTCCCTATTTTTTCTACTTGCATTTTTACATGCTTTCGAACTGCTAGGTTGGCAGAAGCTGGGACAAGTAATGGGAGTTCACTCCATTACGTGACACTAGGGATTCAAACCACTGAACTGCCGGCCTTTGGATCGACAAACTCAGTGCCTTAGCCACTGAGCCACTACGCCCCTTTCAAACTTGGTACAGCATTATTTCTAATTAATACTCTTACTCTTTAAGGGCCACATGGTACGTAAGGCTGATGGAACTTGCTCTTGTCACTGGCCACTTCTGATGGATTTTCACTGGCTCAATGGTGGAATAGGAGAACTTTAAAAAAAATCTGTTCCCATATACAGCACAGTCCTGCTTCAGTCCTACACTATTTCATTTTTTTAAAAATGGGGCTAAAGCCATTGAGGAAAAGACGAGAAAAATGTGAGCAAACAGTCATATTTTCACAACTATAATAGAATAACAGAGTTGGAAAGGACCTTTGAGGTCTTCTAGACCAACCCCCTGCTCAGGCAGGAAACCCTATACCATTTCAGACAAATGGTTGTCCAATCTCTTCTTAAAAGCCCCCATGTTGGAACACCCACAGCGTCTGGAGGCAGGTTGTTCCACTGATTTAAGTGGAGATGATTTTTCAGTTTGAGAATATTGATGCATTTTGGAAGAATACTTTAATCAGTGCAAAACTCTCATGAAATAAGCACAAAACACATATGAAATCAGCACGAAACACAGTAATGGTGCTCCATCACTGGAGGTTCTTAAGAAGATATTGGGCAGTCATTTCTCCAGAATGACATAGGTTCTTCTGCTTAAACTGGGCATTAGATTAGAAGACCTCCAAGGTCCCTTCCCAACTCTGTTATTCTGTACTCTGTAAACATGCTTCTTTGTTAATCTATTCGGTGAGTTCATTTCACTATTAAAGTATACCTGAGCTGTATATCTACCTAGCACAGTTCCCGAAATCCATGTTATATCTGGTGCAGCATCTCATTATCCACTAGTTGGTGTGTGGTGCTCTCTTCCATAAATCACGGTTGCTGTAGTATCATCACATATACTGCAATATTTCATAAGCTGCAGTTACTTGCTATTCTGCAGAATGGAAGAATCCAAAGAATCCTGCTCAGATATTCAAAGCCAACGTTGGGGTTGCTGAAAAATCACCACAGTTCTTAAAAAACCCATTTGTTGTTGTTTTTAAAAAATGGTTATTTTCATAGTCCTGGCATGCGTATCTTTTGTTATTCAGAACTTCATTATTCATTGACTTCATTATTTGGCCCTTATGCAGCGTGGCACGACAAAACCACGCTCGACTAAAGCGCGCTAGATGAAACCGCGTCGCTGACGTCATCAACAGGGCGACAACAGCGAGCGCGGAGAAAGAAGGGCGCTTTAAATAGCGCTTTGAAAGCAGGCCGATTCAAG